TACATAAAATTAAATATATTTTTATATTCAAAGAATTGTATAAGATCTAATTGTAGAAACTCGTAGACTCAACTTTATTTATGCACCCCAGTTATAAAATCAAAATGTCTCGCTAAATATTAAGGTGGTTCTTTAGTAAATTGAGTTGCCATTGAAATGTCTATTTTTTTATATAATGAAGTTGAAGTATCGAAATTGACGTGTGTAAAATTTTAGGTAAGTTAATGATGAAATAAAAAAAAAGAAAAGTGTTGAAAATGTAACTTTTCACGTATAACTTAGTGACAAATAAAGCTCGCAGACGCTTTTTTGACTAACTGCACACAAATTTTACCATAGATTTACCAGATTTTTTAAAAAACGAGATTGAATAATTTAAAACGAGAATAATTTAAAAAAATTACGATTTTAATGGTCACAAAAAAATAATAGGTCAACGGCCTATATATGTATATTTTAGAAAGATATTTGCATGCATAAACTTGCAAATTTAACCTTGAAAATCTCATCTTGTTTTCGTTCAATGAAAATGCTCTTGATTTATTATTGTTATATTCCACTATCTCATTAAGATATATACGTAGTTTTAATATTTTATCCAAATTAGCAGATATTTGTAATTTTGGACGGACTCTGATGAGGCGCTTCAAATTTTCGGTATTTTACTAAAGAATCATCTTAAATCTCTTACATTTGTTTCATAGTTATTTTAATTTTTTAAATAGTAAATATGATATTTGCTTTATTCTTTTAATCAATAAAATATTTTTGATTCACCATATTATAGATATTATATTTGTCAATAAATAAAGAATTAATGCTTCAATGTACAATTTCAATAGCGCAAATTAATTGTTACTCTTGTTACTCTATGTGTTGTCACATTCTTGTGTTGTCTTCATTTTATGTGTTGTCTTCATTCTTACATCCTGACGTCACGCCTTCGCTGGCTTCGTTACCACGGTGGATCAAAAAGAACAAATCATTCTACGCATTCTTTTTTGGGGTAGTTGTTATCATTTCCAGTATCCTCTGTGGCAGCAGGTATTGTAGGTGTTATCACTATATTTGCATGACTGGAATCATGCTACACACAGTAGCTTGATGATTTTGCAAATTATTTATTACTAAAATGACTGACATCGAGAAAGCAGCATAGCTTTAAAGAAATTGTAGGCGCTCAGAGTTCATTGCTAGTTAGTGCAAGAGGTGTAGAGGACGTAGAAACGATGTTTATTGCCACCTTGTCAATGAAATATCAAGGGTTGATTTTTGTAGTAGTATATATTTCAGAGCGTTCAGTACAGTATTTCTTGACAGCTGATAAATATTTCTCAACTCGGGAAACATATGGTCTAAGTTTAAAAATTTTTTGCCAATGGTCTTAGAATATATCAATAAAAGCAGAAATTTCGAGGTTTTTAACTTATTTTTTTACTCTAGATTGAAACTTTACCCTGGATGGTTCTATTTTTATGTCAGATTCGTATTCAGCGACTTAAAATATAACATAAGAATAACTAGGTCTTCATTCCAGCACATGATGCTTCTTTTTCTGTGAGCCTGTGATTATCCATTGATTCAGATTTAGAAAATAAATTTTTACACAACATAGAAGTCATATTTTTAATTGTTTATATCTTATATTATTATATTTCTAATTTTGCATTTAAAAATCCTTTAGCACAAAAATGTTTAACACAGAAATGCGAAAAACTATTCATGTGCAAAATTAAAAAAAAATTTGAGAGATGATTGATCCACTTCGCACGGACTAGCTTATATATAATAACGTGCTTTTATATTAATTACTTGTTTATGATAATTTTCTATTGTTTACAAATAATTTATGGAATATAAAAAATAAAAAATTTTATGGTAAAATCTGATTATTCAATATTTTTTATTTATTACAAGTGCAAAATACAATATTTATCATTAATCTTACAATTTAAAGTACATAAAAAGAGATATAATATTCAAGTTATATGTATAATAGTAATAATAATTATAATAAACATAATTTTATAGAAAATGTATTTCAATAGTGTCTTTACGATGTCAATAATAAAAGTTATTCTTTCTGTAAAAAATTTAATTTATTTGTATACAAAGCTCCAGAAATTATTAAAATATTGCTAAAGATTTTTCATAAAGCAACATTTAATAATCAGAGATCATATTCAAAACTTACATTATGCGCATTTCATTTTTCCTTTTACAAGTATTACGAACAAATTAATGAATATAAATTTATTATACCTAGCGCATCTAGTACTGGTTGTAATGATTCTAGCATAGGGCATAATATACTCTGCAACATTCAAAAAAATTTTTTTACTACATCAAAGTGGTAATAATTAATTTTTATTCAATTCTATTGGTACTATAAATAGATGACTTGGGACAGTGCAGGTAATTTAAGACAGCATGTATTTTTATTAAATTTAATCGTGGCATCTATATATATATATATATAAGTCTCTAAAGAAAAATAAATTAATTAAATTTTAAATTTTCTTTAATGTGACTCATGGATGGGTGGCACAATTAAATTTAACAAAAGTACTGTGCTGTCCCAAAAAATGCTGTCCCAAGTTACCTAACATACACTGTTCCAAATCACCTACATTTGCGGTACGCATTTTATTACAAGCTAAACATATGTTAAACAATTTTCATTTATTCATTTCTATGATGTTCCAATATATCAATTTTTATAAATTAATACAATTTTATAATTTGATAAATCTGTCGATGGGTGCTAGCCTCGATAATCTTGATTTTGACATATGTTGTCAAGGTCATGATTCTGAGTGACTTCCAATAGGTTTTAGCCGTCGCTCGTTATTGTTGAACGTCATAACATATGTCAAAATCATCGGGCTGATTCGTCGACATATTTATCCAGGAACTCCGGTATATACGCCGCACCTATCAAAAACATAATTTATTAAGTATTATTTACTATTATTTAAAGTAAACGAACTATAACAGTAAAAACTTTGTATTGTTTACTATTATGAAAAAAATATTAGAAATCCGAAAATATTTATATTTTGTATTAAAAATGAACTTTTTTAAATCCTTGCATTTTTGCCGTACATTCTATAGGGGTGGGCTAGATGGCTATTCATGGGAAGAGGAGGGATATGTATGGCTCATAGAAAATTT